ACATATACATATATGTTGTTGTTGTTGTTGAGTGCCGTCGAGTCGGTTCCAACCCATAGCAACTCTGTATAGGGTTTCTTAGGAGCAGCTGATGAGTTTCCAAGGAGCAGCTTTTGAGTTATGGTGTTGGAGGAGAATATTGAAAGTGCCATGGGCTGCCAAAAGAACCAATAGATCTGTTTTGGAAGAAGTACAGCCAGACGGCTCCTTGTAGGCCAAGATGGCCAAACTTCGTCCTTCACACTGGGGACATGTTGTCAGGAGTGATCAGTCACTGGAGAAGGATATCATGTTTGGTAAGGGTGAAGGGTCAGAAAAAAATAGGAAGGCCCCCAATGAGATGGATTGGCCAAGTGGCAGCATTGATGGACTCAAGTGTGGCAACAATAGTGAGGTTGGCCCAGGAACGGGCAGTGTTTGTGATTTCATGAAAAATATTTGGGGTTTCTTTAATATCAATTTCTAGACGCCTTAGGGCTGAAAGGAAAGAGCCAAGTCTTCAGGAAAGTTACCTTTTTAAGGTTCACTCCACATCCATTGAGAATTTCATCACCAGGGAAACCTGTATTCTTTAAAAATTATATAAATCTCTGGGAATTCTCCATGCACTGGAAGTAGGTCCCTTTTGCAAGAGAAATATTGTCTCAATTTGCATATTGATTATTAGATCATACAGAAATCAAATACTGTGTTATGTTTTTGAATTAATAGATTATTTTCTTTTTTAGCACAATCATTTCACTAAATTTTGGTTGGCTCTATTTTAAATTTAAATTTCATGTAGAGTTTAAATGTTATCACGAGGAATGTTAGTCAATGAAAACAATGGTTTTATTCAACACAATTCATACAATGCTTCCATTCCCTGCACATTTTATGTAGTAACATATGATGATGTCAGAGTGTGGTAGAGGTAGAACAGACACAGGATAATCTACCTCTGCTTCTGAGTATAGGTGGCAGATTGCACCCTAAGGTAGAGGCAGATCACCTGCAGAGAATGCAGTTGGATAAGCTTGGTGCTTAGTAAGACAGGTTCTGTGTCCATTTCTGCCTTTAGTCTCCTGGGATGCGTACAAGGTTTTCTTCCTTGGAAAGTAATCACTTGGCTTAAGTTCAGGTACAAAGAAGAAAGGGAACAGATGCCCTGAGTAAGAGGCAGAGGGAACTGGGACAGCTGACATTACACCTCATGTCTTCCCTGAACAACAGTGATCATAAGACCTGGCTTTGGGTCTCTCAATGGGTCTGAGGGGCACCACTACCCCTGGTGGCTGCTCTGTTAAATGTCCATCTCATACTGTGACTTGCCCCCTTTTCCTATCCAGGCTACTGAGCAGTGGGATATGGAGAGCTTTTCACTAGCAGGGCTGGTGACCAGAACCCGGTGATGAGTAGAAGCAAATTTCTGCCACAGATGAGCCATGACACTTTCCAAGATTTTCTGGTCATAGGGGCTAATGATGACAGTGAATAGAAAGGGAACAGGGTTTCCTTTAGGGACAATGAAAGAGTTATGAAAATAGGTAGTGGTGATCATTGCACGATATTGTAAATGTAAATGGTGGGGGTAGTATGCCGTGGAGTTGGTTTTGACTCATAGAGACCCTATATAGGGATTCCAAGGCTGTAAATCTTTATGGGAGCAGAACGCCTCATCTTTCTCCCGTGGAACAGCTGCTAGTTTTGAACTGCTGACCTTGAGGTTAGCAGCCTGATTCATAACCACTTCGCTACCAGAGCTCCTTAATACTACATAGTACATAATAACACTTTGTTGTTGTTGTTAAGTGCCGTTGAGTCGGTTCCAACCCATAACTACCCTGTATAGGGTTTCTGAGGAGCAGCTGGTGAGTTTGAACCGCAGACCATGCAATTCAAATGGCTTCGCAATCTGTTGTATTAACCCAAATCACCACACCAGTAAGCTTTCCATGACCTTTGCTTCACTACAACAGACTATATGAATAAGAAGAGTGTCCTTGTTTGTTGATATATGGAAGTCACTGGAACAGTAAGATAGATCCCTACAGGCTCCAACAGCAGCCCTTCAAGGCCCCACCACCTCCAGGAGCCTCAACATCAGAGGGGCCCATCAGCACCCTCAAAGATCCAAGGTCTGCAATCTTCAGTGGTGACAGGGGCATGTGACCAGCAGAGGGCACTGTGCGACTGTTCTCTGAGTGCTCATGGCTGGGCCTCCCTCAGTGAAGTTGGAGAATTGAGACAACAGTGAGTTCTGGGAGTTGTGGCTTGATGCAGCTGTCAGAACCTCCCAGGGCCGCCCTCCAGGATCTCCCTCTCCCACTGGGTCTAGGTCAGGTGAAGTTCTGTTGTACCTCTTCCTCTTCTTACAAAGGAGACATTGCCCAGGACTGGGAACTCTGGGGGTGGTCTAGGAGGAACTACATATTTGAATGCAGAAACTCCACCCCCATGTGCCTAGTGGGAGAATAAGAGGGACTGAGGGTTGTCTAAGGTGCTTGTTGGAGTTTCTGGAGCACCTGCACCATGGCCTGGGCCTCTCTCCTTCTCTTTCTATGCACAGGTGAGGGCAGGGTCTGCTAAGGCTGCAAGGCTCCCTGGGGACCTCCCACTCCTTATCCACCTATGCCTTTCTCCCGCACTCACTTACTCACTGTTCTCTCTCTTTTCTCCCTGCAGTGTCTGTGACTCAGGCTGGGCTGACTCAGCCGTCCTCAGTGTCTAAAGGGCTGACAGAGACAATCAAAATCACCTGCATTGGAGACAGCAATAATGTAGGTTATGAGGGTGCAGGATGGGTGCAGCAGCGTGAGAGTCAGGCACCCCAAACTCTTATATACAGGAATAATAACCGGCTCCCAGGAATCTCAGAGAGATTCTCTGGCTCCAGGTCTGGCAATGTGGCCACCCTGACCATTTCTGATGTCCAAGTGGAAGATGAGGCTGACTATTACTGTACAGCCTGGGACAAAGGCATCAATGTTTGCACAATGCTTGAAGCCAGTGGGGAAGTGAGACAAAAACCTACAAACCAAGGAGCTTCCTCCTGTCTGCTCACTACTCAGAGCTTTGGGTACAATGGACCTTTGAGTAGATGTGGACAATTTGAAGACTTTGTAACTGTAGTATCTCTATTATGTTAGTAGTACTAATGCAACTCAATAAATACAGTTGTTATTGTTGTTAAGCCCCGTTGAGTTGGTTCTGATCCATAGCGACCCTGTACAGGGTTTCCGAGGCTGTAAATCTTTACAGGAGTAGAAAGCCTCATCTTTCTCCTGTGGAACAGCTGGTAGTTTCAAATTGCTGACCTTGCGGTTCATAGCTCCTTATAAATACAGTTAGGACTGGTTAAAATTTTAACAATTACTTTATTCAACACAATTCTAACTATACTAGGATTTATTTGGTGATGCACATCACATTTATTAAAACAGAGACCAGCTGTGTTTATTTAACTTCTGATTCCTTTACATACCAGGACTTTTGGAAAGCAAAGCCTGTACTAGCTAAAGGGCTATTTGTTTACCAGCTTATTCCTAAAAATCTCTGCATTTACATAATTATCTAGCATGTTATTCTGTGAATGATTCACCACTACAGGGCATCTTAACTACTTCCTGAGACCACTAATAATGGAACAGAGATTCCACAGCACAATTTCACTAAATCTCACTCTTAAATTTAAATTTTCAGGATGAATTCTTCTCAATTGTGCTTTAGAGCCCCATCTCAATTTCTACTTGTTCCTGTAAATGGTTGCTATGAGTCGGAACCAACTCCATGGCACATAACTTCCACCACCACCATTAGGTATTCCAAACAGTTATAGGCTGAAGATGGGCTTACAAGCTTTCTGGAATCATGTTTCCCGATATTTCTTTCTATCACACACAAGTTTCTATTTTACAATAGTAGGCAAGGGAAGCCAATATTCATAAGACAGTCAAGCATCTTTACATTATTTTCCCTCTGCAGACTATGCCTCGAACCCTGTATCAAAGAACACTCTTATTCCAAGTTTGAACATACTTCACTATTTATCTCTGTCCCATTTAGCCCTGCCTCAGTGTTCCCCTATCTACTTTGTTCTTCCATCCCTTCACCCCCCTTCGTGTGTATTGCCCTCTCCAATATCTGAACTCTGATACGTCTATCACCTACCCTGTGTCCTACCATCCCATCCCTCCACCTCGTTAACCCCCAAACAAACTCCTCTACCAGTAACAAACACAAGTTTTTTGTTTTTGTTTTTTTCCTTTTAGTATGGGTATCTTTTCTTAAGCTTTTACAGTAATGGTCTTATGCAATATTTGTCCTATTGTGACTGCCTAATTCCACTCAGCATAAAGTCCTCAAGGTTCATCCATGTTATGTGGTGGCTTGCAGCTTCCTTGTTATTCTTCAAGATAGCATAAAATTCCATTGTGTGTATGTACCAAAGTTTTTTATGCACTCTTCCATCAATGGACACTTAGGCTGTCTCCATCTTTTTGATATTGTGAACAGTGCTGCTATGAACTTTGGTGTGCATATATCTACTTGTGTTATCGCTCATCTATCTTGTGGATACATACCAAGTAGAGGAATTGCTGGATCATATGGTATTTCTGTTTCCAATTTTCTGAGGAAATGCCATGCTGTTTTCCAGAGTGGTTGGACAATTTTGCATTCTCACCAGCAATGTAGGAGGGTTCCCGTCTCTTCACATCCTCACAGCATTTATTTTCCTCTGCTTTTTGGACTTCGTTGTTATTGCTGGTGTGAGATATTTCATTGTTGTTTTGATTTGTATCTCTCCAATGGCTAATTTACTGATGAAGATCAAAGACCACAGCCTTAGGTATGGATTGCATCTCAATGCAAAGAAAACAAAAATCCTCACCACTAGACCAATAAACATTCTTATCAATGGAGAAAAGATTGAAGTTGTCAAAGACTTTATTCTTCTTGGATCAACTATCAACACTCACGGAAGCAGTACTCAAGACATCAGATGATATATTGCATTAGGAAAATCTGCTGCACAAGACCTTTTTAAAGTGTGGAAGAGCAAAGATGTAAGCTTGATGACTAAGGTGTGCCTGACCCAAGCCATGGTATTTTCAATAACCTCATATGCATGCGAAAGATGGAAAGTAAATAAGGAAGATCTTAGAAGAATTGATGCATTTGAATTATGGTGTTGGAGGAGAATGTTGAAAGTGCCATGGGCTGCCAAAAGAACCAACAGGCCTATGGTGTAAGAAGTGCAGCAAGAGTGCTCCTTGGAGGTCAGGATGGCCAAATTTCATCTCTCATACTTCAGACATATTATCAGGAGGGACCCATCTCTAGAGAAGGATATCATGTTTGGTAAGGTGGAGGGTCAGATGAAAAGAGGAAGACCCCCAACGAGATGGACTGGCTAAGTGACAGCATCAATGGGCTCAAGCGTGGCAACATTTGTGAGGTTGGCCCAGTATCAGGCAGTGTTTCTTTCTGTTGAACATAGGGTCACTATGAGTCAGTACTGGCTCGATGGCACTTAACAACAACAACAAAGGATTGTCAAAAAGGTCAAATATGACTTTATAAAAGCAGTACAGGAACATTATAGATAGATAGATAGAGGGTTGGAGATAATACAAAACTTTCAAACAATATTTCAAAAGATTAATACTAGAGGGCGGCACTTCCCTGACGGGGCAGGACAAGTACACGGGCTCGGGAAAAAGTAGGGGGCGGTATCACAAATTGGGGCTCCCGCCTGGTAGATAAACAGTTTTTGGGCAAACATAAAACATTAGGCTGCAACTTTATGAACCTTTTTTTTTGAAGGATCAAACTATTGAGGAGTTA